GGGATAGCTCAGTGGTTTGAGCAGTGGCCTGCTAAACCCAGGGTTGTGAGTCCAATCCTTGAGGGGGCCACTTAGGAATCTGGGACAAAAAAAAAAATCAGTATTTGGTCCTGCTAGTGAAGGCGGGGGCCGAACTCAATGACCTTTCAGGGTCCCTTCCAGTTCTATGAGATAGGTATATCTCCATATATTATATTATTACTGAGCAGTCAGTACTATACAAGGGAGCTGCGAACTCAAGCATTATGTACTCTCCGGCAGTTCTACATCAAAAAATTACTCATCTTTGAAAAACATACACCTACAGTGGTCTCTCTGTGAACACAAAGGGAACTCAATTTACAACAGACCACCCACACTGTTTTAATTACACAAAACATCAAAAAGGACATACTTCAACTGGAACTCATTACTATTCATTTAGGATAAATCCATAACTTATTAAAAGCCCTGAATGGAGAAGATTTTTCCCCTTGTTCCTCAATGATACTGAAGCCAGGAGCATATGTTATTCCAATATTTCAACATGTATCACCCCTCTATCAGTTAGTTCAGATGTTCTAATATTTAATGTATTTATTTAATCATTTATTTGTAACAGAACATTTAATATAATATATTTTTTTAATCTATCATGCTAAAATTAGGGTGTTTTTGTATTAAATGGATCACTCAAGGCTCAACAAGTTATACATAAGTCGCTAATATAAATATTTTATTTACTTCTAAGTACATTACAAGCTCCATAAAGAAACTGTATGTAATTATTTCAATTATCCCTTTGAATCAGTCAGCCTCTGAAGAAGTTCCATAAAGTGTTTTTTAAACAAGACCAACTTAGTGCTTATTCTCTTCTTAACACGTGGAGACTTTATACTTGCAATTCTATTAACATTAATGGGAGTTCCCAATGCGGACCAATGGGATGAACGAGCCTTTAGGATGAATAGATCAGTCTTCTATGTTTATGTGCTTGCTCTCTCAGGGACATCATACATTTTCCAGTTTTATTGTGCAAGGAGTTTCATGGAAGTTTTTTGGTCAATATTATGAAATATTTACCTTTTAATAGGAGGCAGAATCTAATGATTAGACCAGGGGACTGTTTCTGATTCCACATATGACCATAGACAAGTTACATACCTACATAGTAACTGTATGTTCCTGACTGTAGTAACTGAGTGCTTCACACTCACTAATGTATTTTACCCTTAAAACACCCCTGTGAGATTGGGAAGCATCATTCCTGTTTTATAGATGAGGAACTGAGCCACAGGGTAGATTAAATGGCTTGCTCAAGGTCACACAAGACATCTGCAAGGATTCTCGAGTCCGACTCCAGTGCCCTAGCCACTGTTTTAGACTACCCCACTCCCCCTCAAAAATGATCTGTAATTCTGGGTACATAACTTGTGATAGTCTGGGCCTGATTTTGAGATGTGCTGAGTACCCTAACCTCCAGATCAAGACAATGGAATCTGATAATTAGGCTCAAAAGGGGCATAAAAAAAAATCAAAGGCTACTTTTGAAAATGTGGACCCAAACTTTGTGTTTCCATTTTCCCAACTGGAAAACCAATGCACTGCAACAATGTCTACCTTCTTCATTGTACTGGTGGGAGACTTGAAGTATCATGCACATCTATTATGCTATATAACAATTAATATTTGTAGATCACTGAGTTCCTTGACTGGAAAGACTTATACAAGGACAATGTATTAATACCTCATCCAAGGCCTTGACAGAAACTGCAGTAAAACAGCCAAGGAAAGAACAATATTCATGGGGGGAGGGGCCAAATCACAGAGGAAAGCAGAATAGCACAGAGAGACCACTGGAAACTACAAGGTGCACATTCTTCTAAGAGCCACACAAACTAAAAGGGAAACTGGCTCTGTATGTAGGCAATTTCAGTGTTTTTCTTGTATAATCAAAGTAGTAAGAAATGCACAAAGCAAACAGACTAACAAGTGAAAAAAAATTCTACTTTATTTCAGTTAATCTTAGGTGTTATCTGTAACTATACTAGATAAGATTTTTCAGACAGATGTGTGATTTTTCAGTATAGTGTCTATCCCTTTAAGGAAGGAGTACATCATCCTTCTCTATATATTTCCTAAACGGTGTTATTTTTAATTTACACCCCCGACATGGTCTAAAATAAGTTCTCTTTTATCTGATTGTATCCAACTCTATCCCATATCTGAGAGAGTTCATGTTTTAACTAGCATTTTCCTAATGGAAAAATTGGAATTTTGTGATGTTAAACAGTTTTATTTTTATCTCATCTGTAAATTCCAGCACTTAGGAAGATATAGAGAGAGCAAATTTAGCCCTTCAAGGCATTTACAGATTCAGCTCTCCTCTTCAAAAACACTTTTCTTGGTAAAGTATCCTGCAAAGAACAAGTGACTCTCTTTTTCCACTCTCTCTGAATTACTCATTCGAATCCAAAACATAATTTGAGTTTTACAGACCAAATGGGGATACCACTGTGTTCAAGAAGCTACATTTAAACACATTCCGTAATTGAATCAATCTGCATGTGTTTGTTTGTTTTTTGTCTAAAGAAAAGCCAGCCATCGGCCAACGTGAGAGGCAGGTTTTTAATTTCCTCCGCAGTGGCGGGGCCTGTATTCCTCTACACTGGCTCTGTGGGCAGGCTGCAATAGGTTTCCCAGGGGGATAAAATTGCAAACAGTGAGAGTGTGTTCAACGGCGACGTACAGGGCAGAGAACCAGAGCCCCCCGGCTCCCAGCGTTGCATCGCGCCCCGACCTCCCCAGCGCATTTCCCCCACCGCTATGTTCTAGGGTTTCCTTCTCGTTTGCGACGTGTATTGCAACGCAGCAGCTCCAGGGCTCTCGTGGCTTCCCCCACCCAGAGGAACCCCACTGCGCCCCTGTCCCCATCGGTCCCTGCAGGACGTGCGGAGGGAGGCGGCAGCCCCCTGCGGGCGCGGAGCCCAGCCAGCCGCCGGGGCTGCGGGAGGCGACCCGACCCCACCCCGCTGCGTTGGCGGCTGTTGGACGCCCCTCCCAGGGGCAGGCCACGACTCCCAGCTGGGAAAGAGGGGAGGGCAGGTGCCGGCGAGGGCGGCCAGGCTCGGACCGTCTGTCCTCACCCGACTGGCCCCGCCCCCTGAGCTCAGCACCGGCCCCGCCCACCAGAGCGTACAGGCTCTTCTCATTGGCCCCGCACAGGCACAGCCCCCACCCAGACAGGCCTTTGGCCCCGCCCCGCCAGACGCTGAAGGGAGAGGAGGGGCGTGGCCTAGACGGTGCGGGGGGGGCCCAGAGGCAGCTCGAATACGCTCTACATTCCAGCTCCCCCACTGCCCAGGTCCCGCCACCTCCCCTCAGCGCCAAAGCCCCGCCCCCACCACTAGGCCCCGCCTCTGCCTGCCCTCGCCCGCCCGCTCTGGCCCCGCCCCTCTCGCTGTTTAACACTGAGCCCGGTCCTGGGGCGCGAGGGGGTGGCGCGGCCGCGGGAACCAACCGCCTCTCGGAGCCTCTGCCAAGAGGCCGGCTGGGGGAGCCGCGGCCGTGTCCGCCTCAGGTCCCCGCGCCGGCCCCGGAGCCACACGCACACTTGCCTGCTCGGTGGCTCCGCTCGTCGGCTTCTCCACAGGGGCGGCGGCGCCGCCCGCCTCCCACCCGGGCTGCGCTCTCCTCAATCTGTGCCGCTGTTTAACAGTCAGCTCCCAACTCAAGGCGGCGGGCGGGGGCGGGGCCTCGGCCGGGGGTAGAACCGGCCAATCCGCGGCGCGGTGGGTGGGGTTATGCAAAACTGGGGAGGGGGCGTGCCCTGAAGGCGGCGTGTGGAACGTCTGGGGAGGGAGGAGGCTCCAGGACTCCATGCCTAGCTGTGCCCCTGAGCTCCTCCGGCACCCACGTGGAGGGAGCCCACTTAGCAGCGCCTGGACCTAGGTTCACGTGCCCCCCTGCACCTCCAGTAGTTGAAGGTTCCCTTATTCCTACCATCCTGCAACAGCACCTGCAAGAATCGTCCAGCTGTGTTTCTCCATTTCTGGAATATTAAAACGGGGGGGAGAGGAGAGCAACAAACGTGCACCCCAGCATCCTTTGCACTGGCTGCCATAGCATCTCCCTAGAAACACTAGTGCAGGGATTGTAGGGTGTGTGCAAATGCAACAGCTGAGGTCTCCAAGTTCACTTAAGTATGTGTTGATATAGCCCTCTCAACTTTCAACAGACCTACATTGCAAGGACATACACACTGTGATCAAGATGGAAGTAATAAGGTACATGTTTATCCATTTGGTCAAGTTTTTGGTCCATCGTCTTTAATTCTGAATGAATTTAGCACTTGTAGAATTTAATTAATGCAATGGTTGTGGACTGACAGCCCTAGAGACAGAAATCTGTTATTCCAAACAGTAATTTTAGCACCAACAGAAGCAGACATAAGCTTTTCTTACTACTGCCCCAACGTTTTTCAATCCTAATATGACAAGTTCACCTCTAAAGTAAATGGATTGATCAGTCTCCATTCAGTTCCTGACTTCTCTTGCTGAAGCTGCCAGTAAGCTTACCACTTGTGGCAATGTCCTTTTAAATCATATTATAGAAACCATAATGTTAGCACAGCTTATTTCTAAAAGATAACAGATTTGTAAAGTGCACAGTAGTCAAATCACTAATTACACAACTATAGAATTGTGGTTTTTGCTAAGCCAAATGTGTAATTAGGTTAATTAAAAGCAAATATTTAAAAGTTATAAAAGCCTGTATTAGCAGCACACTCCACTCACATACTAAACCTCCAACTGATGACTGCAGACTTACTGGGAATTGGCCAATAGGCCTTTTACAGAGGTATTCACACAGATTAACAACAATCAAACCATGTGCTACTCTGAACTAAAGTGTGCCCTTTCTTACAAACCATATCAAAATATGGATTTTACTAGGGCACTTCCAAATAGTTATTTTATAGTATTTGACTTTGATTTTTCAAGTAATGCAGAAAATTGATATTTTGCATTTTAAATTTTTATTAAGCTTATTTATACAAAATAAGTACATATTCAAATAAGGCACATTGAGTTTCATTGTAAAGCTTATTACATTTTTTTAAGTCATTATACAGCTCAAAAATGAAAGTCACTCATTCATTTGTTCTCATCATAGATGAATGCAATGCAAAAAGCCAGATGATTATAGGAGGAAAATCTATTACATTCTCAAAAAGATAAATTATTAAACCGGGGTGGCAGTGAGTCAGTGATAGGTCCAAGTTCTACAGTTACATTTAACACTGTAGTTCCAAAGTTGTGGTTTTGGTGTTTTGTTTTGTTTTTTTAAACACCCCAGTTGTTGTTTATTTTTGAAGAAGAAAGTGGTTTCTTTGACGATTTAATTCTGAACAGTTAGGACTGGATTTAATATAATGACATTATGTTTCAAAGATTTAAAGTTAATTGTAACATTCCAAAGTGACCATACTTTTCACTACCAATACATACAATCTTCTTGCCTCAGACTTTTTTGAATCATTCAGAGAATTAGTCCTAGTGTTTCCACCAGGAAAGAGTGTTACAAGTTAATATTCATTAAATATTAGAGACCACAGATAAACTACAGTAACAAAATGGGATGTTTGTAACTACAATAGTTTTTAACAATGGTTCCTTTTCCTCAAGAAAACACAGTACTTCTTCTACTTGCATTCTGGTGCCTGATGTAATACCGTATTAATTGTGATAGGATTCAGGAAGCAGTCTCCAACGTAGCCATGTGCCTACTTGTCAATCACAATGTCTCTAGCAATGAGCTCTTTCATTATTTCATTGGTTCCACCATAGATTGGCTGCACACGAGAATCCACAAAAGCTCTGAAAAAGTGAGAAGTAGTGACAGAGTGAATGGTTAGAAAAAGAGATACTTCTTGAAAATAACCATATGAAATAACAATGTTTTAGTAAACGGGAAAATCTCTTTTTAAAGATCCAGCATATTTCAAGTGTGATCTGTCTGCAGTGATAACTCAGAGCCCTCTTTCAAGATATTTTATTAATGAGAAAACACAAAGCATGATGCAATTATCATCCTGGGTTGCTCAGGTTGTGATCATTTGATTAATCAAATTCCAAATAAAGGAACTTGTGCTTTAATTCTCATGTTGCAGTTTGTCAGTACTATTCTGGTAGAGAAGAGAAAACATGTGAAGTGACTATAATCTAAGTTTAAGTGAAGAAAAAAACACTTCACTCAGAAGCACGTATGAGTTTGGCAGAGTTTCTTAAATTGAAATAGGGAAATTAGACCAACAAGTCAAATTCTAGAAATTTTTACTAATAAATAAAAAAATTACAATTGAATATACTTGCTGATACCCTATATGTAGGGCCCTACCAAATTCACCATCCATTTTGATCAATTTCATGGTCATAGGATTTTAAAAATCGTAAACTGCATGATTTCAGCTATTTAAATCTGAAATTTTACAGCGTTGTAATTGTAGGGGTCCTGACCCAAAAAGGAGTTTGAGGGGGTCACAAGGTTATTATAGGGGGGTTACGGTACTGCTACCCTTACTTCTGTGCTGCTGCTGGCGGCAGCGCTGCCTTCAGAGCTGAGCAGCTGGAGATCGGTGGCTGCTGACCGGGAGCCCTGCTGCCTTCAGAGCTGGGCCCTCAATAAGCAGCCACCACTATCCGGCTGCCACCTCTGAAGTCAGCGCAGAAGTAAGGATGGCAATACCGTGACTCCCCTAAAATAACCTTTTGACCCCCCTGCAACTCCCTTTTGGGTCAGGGCCCCCAATTTGAGAAACTCGGGTTTTCCCCCTGAAATCTGTATAGTATAGGGTAAAAGCACACAAAAAAACAGATTTCACCCTCCGTGATGTGTTTTTCATGGCTGTGAATTTGGTAGGGCCCTACCTATATGCCTTGATAACAACATGGCAGTTAAAATGAGCCCAAGTTTCATGTTGTGAAAAGATTACAAGTGACTTCAATACAAATTGCTCTTTTAAAAATGGCCCATCATTCCTTTTTATAGTGGTAAATGATTTCACAGAAAAAAAATGTCCTCTGATGGAGTTAAGTTTGTATACATCTAGACATTACTTAAAGGGCAAGGCAAACTGAATATTGTAGTTTTCTTTAAAAAGTTCATTCTAGGTACAAACAGATATTAGAAATCCTGGAAATTAAAAAGTATGGAAATATATAAATAAAATAAATCAAACCACCTAAACACTGTCCTATCCTCTGCCAACCTTCCATTTTGCATGTAAGTTGGAGGCAATATGATTAAAGACTTTTGATGAAGGTGGTCTTAATAAAGACTAATTTACAATTTGAGGCTGGACATCTTAAATCCACTTTACTTGCAGTTAGTCTTTGGGGCAGAGAAACTCTGGAGAAAATAACATTAATTCTAGAAATATGTCTGACACAAATGTTATCACCTGCTACCCTGCAATCCCCTGCTGCATAACATGCCTTAATTTGATTCATAAGAACAATGTATGGTTGCTGCTTGCCTATGCCAAGTCTCTGAGTAAGAACATGCTTACATTTGAAACCTTGTACATCTCTGGGGAAGTGTCCCAAACTTGTCACTTGTGGTTAAACATTTTTTCCCTTTATTTGCTATATTTCTTTTCCATAGGCTGCCTTGCAAATTTCTATTTTATTATTTTCTATGCCCCCCATCCTTTTTTAATTCAAAATAATGTCTTTTATAGTCTAGAAGCAATACCTGCTGGTGTTTGCTCACCCTTTCCCAATTCTTTTATCATTTCCTCCCTTCTCCATTTTCAGTTAATTTAGTGCTCGATTAACAGTGCTGGAGACTGAAACCCTTCATTTATACATAGCACATGTACAACATACAAATTGTAAGCTCGCCCACACTTACTAGTGTGCCTCTGTGCCCTGAGAAAGAGACCATCTCTAGGTCCAAAGTAGTAATTTAGGTGCCATGCTCATTGAGTCCATTCCCTGCTGAAAGGGTTTCTAATTGTGCGGTGGGTTCTTTCTGAGAGGTGAACATTTGCCCACTAAGAAATGAACTGAAACTATCAATTCATTTCACACAGGCCACTGAACAGCTATCTGATGGCTATAGCTTTGAATCATTACTAACTTCAGCTTCATTTGAACTGGTGACTGAACTCAACAATGAAAGGCTCTTGATCCCCAAGCCATCCAGTTCCCCTTTCCCTACCCTCCCAGTGGGTTGGGGACTGAGCTGTGCTCTTGAGCATACTATAGTCTGGGCAGCAGATTAGGGAAATGGATAAGAATCCTTGCTAGTTTCATTCCGTGAAGCACTAAACACAGCATCACAACCACAACTTTCCCCAGAAAGTAATTTTAAAATTCAGTATCCAGGAAAATGTACGACTCACACAGCCCTGCAACATTTAAAAATCCATACTTAGATAGTTACTACCAGTACTTAACAACAGGGGCCCTACAAACCTGCATAGGGGTTGCTAGATATGCTGATATAATAGAGCTCAGTGTACTTTAGAGTTGCTATTTACTCACAAAGGATGGAACAATCATTTCAAAATGTGAACAGGCTACTATGCACAATAATAAAGAGAAAAAAGTATGTGGGGGTAGCCGTGTTAGTCTGTATCCACAAAAAGACAACAAGGAGACCGGTGGCACCTTAAAGGCTAACAGATTTATTTGGGCATAAGCTTTTGTGGGTAAAAAACCTCACCT